CTAACCGTATCGCTCACAATGGTGGATACGGTAATATGAAATGAAACGAAATATAGAAGGGTGAAATGAAACTATTTCGGTTTGTAGTTTGTTCTCTATCATATACAAATACGCCACGATATTCATACAGATGAAAATGTTGAAGTGATTGCTTCCGGTACGCATAATGTGTGTGTATGGGTGTCTTTCGTTTGGCTGGGACCACTGAAACTGCTTCGAATGTTTATTCTCAGTTGAATGTTTGTATTTGTATGTGTGATGGCATGCTATAATAATAAGAGGACACCGCCAGTTAAATTGATGTCGTTTATCATGTATTTTTAACTATGACCGAGGCTAGAGGACACACATCAACAATCAAATTTGCATTTTATGGCTTGGTTGGATATTTTATTAGTCACAATTTTTTGATTAATAAACGATGATGAATTTCAACATAAATGAAACGGGTGATACCGTCTAATTTAAACATTTCGCTTACATATCATTAGTTTTGAACACAAATTAGTGTATATTTTGTTACAATGTCTGAGAATTTGTTCAATTTAAACGCCTTTATCGGACACACAAGTGTGTGTTGCTATGGACACACAAGTGTGTGTTGTACGTGCGATCAACCAAATTGGCAACGAACAATTGAACGCTCTAGAATAAAAACAACTTATTGTTTACTCGCATATCGAAACGGAACTCAAAACGGGTGCATATCAAAGCGAGACAATATTTAGTTATCATAGGAATAGAGAACATTGGCTTTTTATTATGCGAAATATGTAAGTTTCATTTTGTACTGATAACTAGCTACTGTTCTGCCTTGTTTTAGTAACAGAATTTTGTTTCGCTTTGATATGCGACGCAGTTTAACGATATAAATACTTCACACTCTCGAAGGCTCGGTATAGAACACACAAAAAGTGAAAAAAAACTTCTTATTCTCAAATTTCATATACAATCAAATGGCTTGTACCAGCGACTTTTATTGCGTAGTTGTGTGTGAATAGAATGTCCGTTGTAAACATTCATACATACAAGGAGGAGCAGGATAGCATTGGACAACGATTTGGGTGACAAAGATGACACATTTTTATGTTCTGATCACATCACATGATATAGACCATTTTGTGGTGTTCGAGAATTGCGAAAAAAAATCAGATTTTTTTTTCACTTTTCATGCTCTATACCGAGTCTCCGAGAGCTTCATATAAACTCGCCTTGCAATAGCCAAATGACGCCTATTGATTCCATCACGATTGGTATTCGCTTACTATTCAATAGGCATCAAATAGCAAGTTTATATGAAACTCTCGGAGACTCGGTATAGAGCACACAAACAGTGAAAAAAGTCCAGATCGTGATTTAGATGATATGGAATGCGATTTTTTTCATTCTGATTTCACCAGGTGATATAGAAAATTGAGTAGTATTTGAGAATTGAAGAAAAAAAATTTAATTATTTTTTTCATTTTTCGCCAATTTTTACCATCTATATGGGAAGCTTGTATGAAAAACACGGAAGACCGCTGAAATGGAACTGTCGTACGTCCGCACATATTTTGCATTTGTCATTTCAGCGGTCTTCCGTGTTTTTTATACAAGCTTCCCATATAGATGGTAAAAATTGGCGAAAAATGAAAAAAATAATTACATTTTTTTTCTTCAATTCTCAAATACTACTCAATTTTCTATATCACCTGGTGAAATCAGAATGAAAAAATCGCATTCCATATCATCTAATTCACGATCTGGACTTTTTTCACTGTTTGAGTGCTCTATACCGAGTCTCCGAGAGTTTCATATAAACTTGCTATGTGATGCTAGTAAGCGAATACCAATCGTGATGGAATCAATAGGCGTCATTTGGCTATTACAAGGCGAGTTTATATGAAACTCTCGGAGACTCGGTATAGAGCATGAAAAGTGAAAAAAAAAATCTGATTTTTTTCTCAATTTTTATGCACAACTAAATGGCCTATATCATCTGGTGCGACTGATTGTAAAAATTTGCTATTTCTGTCACCCAAATCGTTGTTCAATACTATCTAACTCACCCTTACATGTTATTTCTCAATGCATGGCAATGTATTTACAAACAACGTTCTATTGACACACAACTGCGCAATAAAAATTGCTGATACAATCCATTTGATTGTTTATGAAATTTGAGAATAAGAAGTTTTTTTTTCACTTTTTGTGTGTTCTATACCGAGCCTTCGAGAGTGTGAAGTATTTATACCGTTAAACTGCGTCGCATATCAAAGCGAAACAAAATTCTGTTACTAAAACAAGGCAGAACAGTAGCTAGTTATCAGCACAAAATGAAACTTACATATTTCGCATAATAAAAAGCCAATGTTCTCTATTCCTATGATAACTAAATATTGTCTCGCTTTGATATGCACCCGTTTTGAGTTCCGTTTCGATATGCGAGTAAACAATAAGTTGTTTTTATTCTAGAGCGTTCAATTGAACAATTTGTAATGTCTACATAAAATTGAAATTTCATTCAAACCATTCCAAAAATGCTTTTTATGCCCCCGTTCCATTTCGCTCGCCACAAAAATCTGTTTATAATAAATTAATGAAAATAGAAATAAAAAAGAAATACCGAAAATATTAAATAGAGAAATAAGAAGGAGATTTTTTTCTCGTTGTGTTAAACAACTTGTTGGTAGTTTAGAATCACCATTTTACCATCAATGGACAAAGTGTTACAACAACTTAACCTAGCATAATTGATCTTATTTACGATTTTTGTCTTGGCGCTCCGAACACTTTTTTCACTAGTTTTTCTTTGCTTACAAGCACCATTCCACCACCCCATCTTCAGACATTTTTGGCAGCGTATGATCAGATGCCAGTGTCGCAATTCTTGCGATCGTTAAAAAAATACACATCTATATACAAAGAGAGACAGACAGACAGACAGAGAGAAAGAGAGATAGGTTGGGGTTCGTGATATCATTCGGTGCAACGGAGTAAAATTGCAATCAAATGCGACGAAAGGAAAAGATTGAATAGAAAAACCAGAAACAACAAAAACTGGTAGACAATTCAAAGGCGTACAAGAAATAGCATTCGATGGCAAAATGAGCAACAGTAGCAAAAGAAACGAGCACCAATTCCATTGCCAACAAACAACTTCTTGAAGAACAAAGAGTCACTAATAAAAATAAATTATTGCTCATCCATTTGCAGCTTTTCGTGCGATGTTTGCCAAAATAAATTTATTTATTAGATAAAGTGAAAACTTAACACTACTTTCAAACAACACCGAAAGAAGCTGTATCACGATCTCAACGACACCGTCTCCTCTTACACACACACAAAGAGAGAGAGAGAGAGAGAGAGAGAGAGAGAGAGAGAGAGAGAGAGA